TCCTCCCCGCGATGCGGGCTCAGCATCCGGGGCCCCGGGCGGTGAGGAGCCCCCCCCACCCCGCCGTGCGGCCCGGGCCGATCGGACCTGAGGACCTGGGTTTGAAGGAGGGGCCGGGATGGGGGGCCGGGGGGAGCTGGGGGGACCCCCGGGACGCTGAGACCGGCCCCCCCCCGGTCGGCCTGCGGTCGGAGCCCCCGGGGTCCGAGCAGACCGGACGCTTTGGGGGATGTCATCCCCGGAGACCGCCTAGCAGAGCCCCTAGATCCCTGCCAGGGCATGTAGAAAGATCTGGAAAACGGAGCGGGGCTGGGAGAGTCCGGGGAAGAAGGGAGGGAGGGAGGGAGGGAGGACAGCCGGCGGCAGGCATGGATTGCACTGGCGACAAACCTCCTGGTGCAGCGACTCCCGGGACAAGTGTGTGTGTCTGTGTGTGTGTGTGTCTGTCTGTCTGTCTGTCCGTCCCTCCTGGTGCAGCTACTCCCAAGAGTGTGTGTGTGTGTGTGTCAGGCCTGGAACTCAGGGCCTGTGTGTGTGTGTGTGTGTCAGGCCTTGAACTCAGGGCCTGTGTGTGTGTGTCTGTGTGTGTGTCTGTCTGTCTGGCTGTCCATCCATCCCTCCTGGTGCAGCTACTCCCAAGACAAGTGTGTGTGTCTGTGTGTGTGTCTGTCTGTCTGTCTGTCCATCCATCCCTCCTGGTACAGCTACTCCCAAGACAAGTGTGTGTCTATGTGTGTCTCTCTGTCTGTCTGTCCGTCCCTCCTGGTGCAGCTACTCCCAAGGGTTGTGTGTGTGTGTGTGTGTGTGTGTGTGTGTGTCAGGCCTGGAACTTAGGGCCTGTGTGTGTGTGTGTGTGTGTGTCAGGCCTTGAACTCAGGGCCTGTGTGTGTGTGTCTGTGTGTGTGTGTCTGTGTGTCTCGGGCTTTGAACTCAGGGCCCGGGTGTGTGTGTGTCTGTGTGTGTCTCGGGCCTTGAACTCAAGGCCTGGGTGTGTGTGTGTGTGTGTGTGTGTCAGGCCTTGAACTCAGGGCCTGTGTGTGTGTCTGTGTGTGTGTGTCTGTGTGTGTGTGTCTGTGACTGTGTGTGTGTCTGTGTGTGTGTCTCGGGCCTTGAACTCAGGGCCTGGGTGTGTCTGTCTGTCTGTCTGTCTGTCTCCGTCTGTCCCTACTGGTGCAGCTACTCTCAAGGGGTGTGTGTGTGTGTGTTGAGCCTTGAACTCAGTTTCTGGGCACCATCCTTGAGCTGCTTTTGCCCAAGACTAGAGAGAGCTCTACCTCTTGACCCACAGCCCCACTTCCCGCTCTGTTGGTAGTGAAATGGAGATCAAGATCTCAAGGACTTTGCTGACCTTGAACTCAGCTCTCAGCCTCCTGAGCGCCCAGGATGGCTAGGTCTCTGAACCAAAAACAGGTGTTCGTTTGTTCAGTTGGATAAGACATTTCAAGAGTTATTTCAAAGGTCAGCTACTGAACCACGCTGAGGTTATTTAAAGCCCAGAAGGGGTTCGAGTCCGGGATAAAGATGAAAGGGAAAGAAAGCGAAGTTTGGAGACTCCACAGTGGGATGACTGTATGATCTTCAGGCTTGTGTCTTAGGGTGGAGGCTTCGTTGTGGGGCTGAAGAATGTCACCCTCCAAAAGGAAAGGACGAAGGTAAAGAAAAAAAGAAAAGAATAAAACAATGGCCACCTTGAAATGATTAGTGTTAATGTGTTACAACATTTTTTCCAATCATCCCCTACAAATGTATTGGGGCTTCCTACGTTTTTTTTTTTTTTTTAACTAGTACTGGGGCTTGAACCCAGGGCCTGGGCATTCTCCCTGAGCTTCTTTTGAGCCACAGAATTGCTTCTGGCTTTTTCTACTTATGGGGTAGTGAGGAATCTAACCCAGGGCTTCATGCATGCTAGGCAAACACTCTACCACTAAGCCACTTTCCCAACCCTTCCTGCCTTTCTTTAAGGGGAAAAAAGGGATCTGGGATTTGACCCTGGAATCTGAACTACAGCCATCGGTCCTTATGCGGTGAACACATCTGGTGAATAATTAGGAAATGAAATCCCTAAGTGAACTCAAGTAACCATTCAGAATGTTTTATAACCACATTAGAATACATTTATATTCTGGTGGTTGCAAAAGCTTGTTTTGTAACTCATAAAACAAATACTGGGACAATACGTAAGCTTATACTTCCTAAACTAAAAAGAAAGGGAACTCAAGTTTGACAATATAGCAAGGCAATTGGTTGAACATTTACTAATGTAGGCTTTTTTTAAGTCTAAGTGTAAACTATGGAAAGAAGGCATTGAGTTCAGTCATCAGAACCAAGAATAAATGAATAAGAGAAATAAAGATGATAAAGGATAAAATACCATGTACTACAAGAGATGTTAGCTTGTACATCATCCATTTGGGGGTACAATAATCCTAAAGCTTTCACGGTTCAAATAGTAACTCCTGAACTATTGTATATATTTTATTTAACACTTGAAATTTGGGTGGGGGGGGGCAGGCCTGGGGCTTGAACTCAGGGCCTGAGCGCTGTCCCTGAGCTTCTTTTGCTCAAGGTTAGCACTCTACCTCTTGAGCCACAGTTCCACTTCTGGCCTTTTCTGTGAATGTGGTACTGAGGAATCGAGCCCAGGGCTTCGTGCATGCATGCTAGACAATCTTTTTAATATGTCAGGGGTTTGGGTGGTACTGGGGTTGGAACTCAGAAACCGTGAGCTTGCTAGGCATACACTGTACCATTTGAGCTAAACTCCTGCCTAATATATTATTGTAGTATGCATCATAAAATTGTTGAGTTTCTTAATGCACTTCATACAGTGATTCAATGGCAAATTATGAAAAGTTATTTTGGAAATGCTACTTGTTGGAAATTTTAATCAGGTCCATTAAAAAGGAAGAGACAGGGCTGGGAAGGTGGCTCAGTGGTAGAGTGCTGAAGCCCTGGGTTCAATTCCTAAGTGCTACATACACAGAAAAAGCCAGAAGTGGTGCTGTGGCTCAAAGTGGTAGACCACTAGCGTTGAGCTAAAGAAGCTCAGAGACAGCGCCCAGGCCCTGAGTTCAAGCTCTGGTACATGTGTGAATGTGCCCACACACACTCAACACAAAGTACTCTATGATCTCAAAACCTGAATTCACAGACACGAGGGAGAAATGAAAAGGCAAAGATTTACTGAAGAGAAAGACAAGGAGAGCAATTACTACACAGGAGAGGTCTCACAGGAGGGCACCCCTGGGGAGCAGTGTGCAGGGGCTCTTTAAGTGTCTCCTGAAAGCTGAGTGACTCTCAAGATCTCTGGACAGAGTGTTGCTGTGGCTCAAAGCAGAAGAATAGAGCCAGGTGCCGGTGGCTCCCGCCTGTCATCCCAGCTACTCAGGAGGCTGAGATCTGAGGATCCAGGTTCCAAGCCAGCCCAGGCAGGAAAGTCCATGAGACTCTGATCTCCTATGAACCACCAGGAAACCGGAAGTGGCGCTGTGACTCAAAATGGTAGAGCGCTTGGCCTCAAGTGAATGAGCTCAAGGACAGCGCCCAGGCCCTGAGTTCAAGACCCAAGAAAAAAACAAAGATCACTGGACACGCTGTAAGCCATCGCAGTCCCCAGACCCAATCAGGTGCTCCATGAGTGTTACATTATATTGCCCGAAAACCACACAGACATCCGGGTACAGAGAACAAAGAAAGGTTCATTGCTGGGAAAGGGGGACCAGCAAGACCCCTTCTCACAAGGGAGAAGTGATAAGAAGCGCAGGCTATTGTCTGGGGTGACCTATATAACCTAGGGGGTTAGGAGGGGCTGGGAGGGGCCAGGAGGCGGATACCTGGTGTGGATGTGCGGGCCAGGGGCTTCATCATGGCGGACTAGGATGTTTAGTAGACAAGGGTCCTGCGGCTGCCCAGACCTGAAGTCACTCTAAGGGGCTCTGGCTGCCTTCTGGGGTGGTAGCTGCCCCCAGAGCAGTGCCATCTCAAGGTATGGGGGCTGGAGGCTGATGATTTACTGACTTTGCTACCTGGGTCTGGTGTTGCCTGGGAAGGGAGCGTGCTGAGCTGTGGAGAGGGGAAGGCGCCTGCTAAGCTGTGGGAAGGGAGCTCACTGGGCTGACACTGAGCCTGCTCCAGCTAACCCTGCACTGTGCAGCCACTGGCTGGCTGGCTCTCTGGGCATCCATTCAGGCACGCACCTCTGGGTTCAGTGAGTCCCTAGTTAATGTGCAAATCTCCCAGGTGCAATGGGCCATGATATGACGTCCAAGGTACCATGTGCAGGACTGCTCAAGGCCATGGTCATGTGACACCAGACTGGCTCTGCTCCAGGCCAAGCAGTAAGGGATAGGGAAGCGGACTCTGTGGGAGGGAAACTTTGCTCTGATTGCCTAGCCAGGCTCATTTAAAAAACAATAAAAGTTGAAGTTAGGAAGCTGAATCGGTCATCAGTGAGCTACTGCAACCATGATCCCTCCTCCTGGTTCATAAAGAATAATCCTGGGAAGATTCAAAATTAAAAAGGAGCTGGGGAACTGGTGGCTCCACGCCTGTCATCCTAGCCACTCAGGAGGCTGAGATCTGAGGATCGTGGT